TACTTTTTACATCTCAATTCCATTTTATATAGGAGTACTTAAATTGGGTTAATCCAGTGTAAATGGTATATACTAGAGCAACTACTAAAGAGAGAGAAAATATAAGCCATATTAAAAATAATAAAAAATAATAAAAAAAAGATAAACAGGTAAAAAGAGAGAAAATGCATATACTCCTTGCATAAAGACAGACGGGAAGTTTTTGTTTGTCTTGCTGGATGGACTCAGCTCTCAAATAGTAGTGAACTAAGAAAAAGAAAATAATATTGAGCAAGAAACCAAACCCTCACAAGTTGTTTAGGTCCCTAGAAAAAAATGGCAACAGAAGAGTTGTCACCATTGCTGTGAAATCAGTAATTTATGAAGAGACAGGCAGTACCACAGATGGAATACAAGATATTAAATGGGATGCTAAACACCAGTAGCATAGTGGTGACACTCTGAAAACTAGTCCCTGTATAGCAGGCAGGATCAGATAAAGAAGTTGCTAGGTAAAGTCGCAAAGTGTGGCTAACAAAAAGGTGTCAAGCTGAGAAGGTTAATTCAGTGGGAAATATTTCATTGAATTAGTTAAGTCCTCCTCTGTTGTAACCACTTCTTCTATACCAAAATGAAATCTAACTGCTAGTAGTTAAAAGATGATAGAGAAATCATATATAGAAGAGCCTGCAATTTGGGATGAATTGGCTACAGTTTTGAGGTAGAGAAGTCTGGTGTAGTTGGGGGGTGGTATTTTTTTTTCAAATACAGAAATGAATGGCTATTAGACCACTGAATGGCGATCAGACCAAGAAGTGGTATTGGTATTCTCCATTGTACTGGATAAGATGATCAGCAGAGCATGTAAGGACAGGGCAAGCACTTAATTGTACGTTCCCAGAATAATATACTAGCCACCAATGATTTGTGATTCAAGAGTTTTCTAAGAAAATCATTGACTCTATAATAGTTTGTTTGTTTGTTTGTTTTTTGAACTCATCCAATTTCTTTTCATGTATTTGTGGACTTAAAATATTCATAACACCTGATGGCAAGATGTTCCGCTCCTACTTATTGTGGCATGAAGAAATTTAGAACAAATAAAAGGAAGCTGTTTTTCCTTTGGTGGTTAATTACATAGTCACGGGATGTTGTTGATATCAAAGTGTTGGTTTCAAGAGCCATTGAACAAATTTATGGAAGGAAAATCCAGCTAGAGTGATTAAATGCAAAAACAGAACTTCTGACTCTGAAAGTTCATAAGTTGCAAATACATGCAAACCAAGAGGATGCCTTAGGAGAAGTATGCCCTGCCTATAAATCCAGGTACAGAATGTTAATCTGATTGATCTTTGTTGTAGCTCAGATCAGTTTCCATATGTTCTTCACTGAATTGTCAGTATTGCTTAATGACCTTAAAATTGAAAGAAAACCAAATTAAAATCATTTTGTTGTTCTCATTCCTTAGCTCCTTCCACACTGATAGTCTAATGTAGAGTTAGTTTCTGAGCAAGATTTTGTAAAGTGTAGGAAAACTTCTTGTACCTCTGTTCTCTCTGTTCAAGGAGGTCTTATCAGGTATTTATGAGCATTTCCTTCTCTCTCTGATGATATTATCACAGAGTGCTGATGAAAGCTCTCATGTCGCTTGAAAAAGTTTGATATATCCATACGCAGATGATTCCTTCTCACCATAAGGGATATCTATCCTTCAGTATCTCAACATATACCAAAACAGTTCCTTGGGTTTCATTTTGCTCAGACAACTAGAGTTGTGCCTATAATGTAGCTAACTGAGAAACAGCTGGGCATAGTTATCCAATAGCTAGAAATCTAAATATAATCATGCATCTGAACAGTGCATCAATTCACAACAGTTCTTGTTACTTGTAAAACTGCAGATTTCACTAGATCCATCAAATTACAGGTACCAGCTCTCTTGCTAGTCCTGTAATTACTCAGACCTGTCAATGCCATAGGAGTCAGAAAACTTCATGAATCAATTCCACAGAAATTCTCATTCTCTGCATTGAGGATTAACTCTGTGTCACTCATGTGGCCCTGAGGGTTTGAGAGTACACCCAGGCATTCACTAGCCTGCTATACAGCCCTCCTGACAGCCAGCAACCCTCAGAGGTTGGTTCAGCTTCTTCATGATTTCAGTGTTGTGCTCTTCATACTAGCCCTGCGCAGCAGAGAGGAAGGATGACCTGCTACTGTTTGGGTAAACTAGAAGGTTCTCACTTGTGTTTTCAGCTGCTATGCTGTCCTCTACAGAGAGGTTTCTTATCGCTGTGCATCTGTTACCCTTCAGGCAGTACTTTCTCCTGTTTGTTCTGATTCCTTTCTTGATAGATGATGATTGTCTTTATTTGTCAGCCTTTCCTTCAAAGAGGATTCAGAAAGGTCAGCACTTCAATCCCTAAACTCATTCAACTCCTTTCCTATGCAGCAGTTCATCTGGCTATTTTTCATAATTAAAATAAGTAGTCCTGCTTTCTTCAAAATGGACTTTGTAAGGCATCATCTGTGATATTAATAAGTCTTTGTCTCAATGAGAAGTTGAGACAACTCACACATCTCTGCTTGGTGATTTCCTGGTGTGACTTGTGCATGCAATCTCTACCAAGCCATTGTGTTAAGTGATGCATTTAATGTAATTATCCATTAAAAGTTTTGTTTGCTATTTGTACATGGATTATTACTGGCTCCTGACTGAGGCTAAGCACAATAATTGATATGTTTGGGATGAGTAGCTCTCAGCCCCTTCCTCCAAAGAAAATTGTATCATGTACTAAATCGCATGTATTTGAAGTTATAGTTATGGTATTAGATTTCTCTGACAAAATGCATTGCAGCCATCCTCAGTATCTCAACATGCAGTCAAGATCAACCACACGGCATATCTGTCTCCTTTTATATATGAGTCAAAAGTGAGCTGGCTGCAGTTCAGCTCAGCAAAATAGAGATGTTAATGACAGTTTAAGTGAAAGAGCGAAACTATCTAGCAAAAGCCACGTTGGCTCCTTTGAGTAGTATTTTTAATTGTTTAAGTGTTTGACTTTTTATGAGGGATTCTTTCCCCTTCATTGCTGTTAGTCATGCTCCAGTTAATAACCAAGTCAGTTTCTTGTCATCTACATGTGACTTACCCTGTAGCCTCCTCTTTTTTTTTTTTTTTTTTTTTTTCCCCCCCTAAGGATTTAAGTTCTTATGCAAGCTTTTGTTGTATTGTAATTAGATTGCTATGTAGCATTGCTCATGGATCTAGTTACCATCACTTGGTGAGAACAACTCAAGAACTCATTTGGTTATAGGCTGGGCACTTCTGTGGTGCCTGATCTTTTTGTCTTTCAACAACCTTGCCCACATTTAGGGATATATTAGGGTTTGGCAATAGATGATGGTGAGCAGCAATAGGGTCTTCTGGGATCTCTGAAAAAGTGATGTTATAAAAGGGCTTTAGGAACTTACTAAGATGAATTTCCCATACTAAAGGCAGGAAGAAACCTTCTCTAACTGCTTGTCTCTCTGTCTCAGTAGAGCTATTATCTTTATCTGAATGATTATTTTTTAATGCTTGTGACGGACTGTTCTGTTGCTTGCAGGAAAGAATGTTATATACAGTATATGTTGTGAAAAGTGACATTAAACAAATGTGAAAGTCTGCTTTCTTCCATCTCTATTGTTTTTCCTTTTGTTTCTGTCCAGCTTTTTGTCCATCCTCAGTTTTAAATCCTTTTTCTTCATTTCTGGGAAACATTTTGGACCATTTTTACAGTTTTGCTCAGGGAGCAGACTGACTCTTCTAATTAATTGTGGTGGCTTAAAAGGCTACATGGTAGGCTTGTAACTGAATCTCATTCAATAAAATCCCACACGTACTTTGGACTGATCAGTAATATATCTCTGCAGTGCAAACCTTTATACTTTAGGAAAGACAAATAAAGCTTTCAGCATGTCTTCCAAGGAGAAATGATGAGTGGCTGGAAGAGTATTGTTTTCATGAAAGTGTCTTTATAAACATGCAGAGACCAAATAAATAAGAAAGAGGAACCCTGTTTATAATAGCAATCTGAACTTCCCAGCAAATTTACACACTGTGGTCCTTGTAACTGCATATAGTGACTTTACTACAGTGAGAAAAAATTTTGTAGGCAAATAGTAGTTAAAGGATGCATAAAAGTTTTGTAATGCAAAAGTAAATTTTAGTATGAAGTATACTTCAGATAACAGATTGTACATCTTTATCATTTAAAATACAGAATTTTATTTCTCCATAACTTATATGTATACCCACTTCATGGGCTACGGCTTCCAACTGTTATTTTACTATCAACGTCCTTCTTATTTCATATATGTATTCTTTTTAAACTTTTGTTCAGTGAAACACTGAAAACATATGACATAGTGCAAAAATATGAATTATATTCTCTGATTTTAAGTTGGTAAGAAAATCAAGTCAATAATCTCTTTTGCTGCAGGTTGAAATGGTGGGGTGAATGAGGGCAAAGATTTGGCTAAATGTCAGTTAAGTACAGTTTCTACATATTGTATTTAAATTTCTAGAGTCCTTGGTTGCTTATAGAAGTAAAGAATCACAGAATCACAGAATTGTCTAGGTTGGAAGAGACCTCAAGATCATCGAGTCCAACCTCTGACCTAACACTAACAAGTCCTCCACTAAACCATATCGCTAAGTTCAACATCTAAACGTCTTTTAAAGACCTTCAGGGATGGTGACTCGACCACTTCCCTGGGCAGCCCATTCCAATGCCTCACAACCCTCTCAGTAAAGAATTTCTTCCTAATATCCAACCTAAAACACCCCTGGCACAACTTTAGCCCATTCCCCCTCGTCCTGTCACCAGGCATGTGGGAGAATAGACCAACCCCCACCTTGCTACAGCCTCCTTTAATGTACTTATAAAGAGCAATAAGGTTGCACCTGAGCCTCCTTTTCTCCAGGCTGAACAAACCCAGCTCCCTCAGCTGCTCCTCATAGGACTTGTTCTCCAGACCCCTCAGTAGTAGAATATTTAGCTGCACTGGGAATAAAAAAATGATATTTAAGTAAGGGGTGGAGGTGTAAGGATGGAGGACTCTGCCTGATCACAGTCTTGATTCCTACACATTATGAGCTTGCCAATGATCCATCGAACTGACAAGGGAGCCTCTGCCATACTGATTTTTTTTTCTTTTAATAAGAAAGAAAAAGTTGTTCTATATTATGCAATTTTAAACCCTGCAGCAATAATCTGTATCCTTCTGAAGAAGTAAGAGGAATAATTCTATTCTGGCAAGTAGCATGCAAATAGAATACTTTTTCTTTTAGCATATTAATTCAGTAAGAAGATTAATATAAGCTTGCAAACTTCTTAGGCAAAATCTTTATTCTTTCAACAGAATGCAAAACAATTACTACTTGGATGCTGATAGTAAGTGAACTGTTTTATTGAATAGTTACAATGAAACATAGGAGGTTGGTGTACAAAAAATAGTTCATGTAAAGATTATGAGGAAGAATTTGTAGAGGAGGGAAAAAAGGGCAGAGGATATTGTTTCAAAATGGAAGATAAAGAAGTGTCTGCTACTAGAGAAGTGCTACCTACCATTAGAGCCCATTGGTAGGCAGACTTCCACTACAGTTTGGAATCAAATTCTGAACTTCAGGTACGTGTTTTATTAACACTGCTGCAAGCTCAGGAATTAAGATGGGACTACATAAATTATTGTGAATGATCAATACTACTCCAGTCAATGACTGATATTCAAATATTTTGCAATACTGACTCTACTGACTCTTACTCTTTATTTCTATTGTCAGTTCTGGTCACAATTTATGGTATGGTTATTTAAAATTGAAAAAAAATAAACGATGTAGTTATTAATGCAATTGAATAATTGCCAAACTAATTATCAGAAGATCCCAGAACAAGTCATGTTGAATGGATCCTCAGAAAGTCATTTAGTCCAGTCTTCTTCTCAAAGCAGGGCAAGCTATTAGAGCAGACAAATTAATTCCTAGTATATTCTAGGAATACTCTTAGAATATTCTTTTGATATTTTTTGAAGGCTTTGTGTTCTCCTTCTAAATGACAGACTCTTTAGTATATATGTGTATACACACATACGCGCGTGTATATGTATATCTATCTATATATATATGTATTTTGGACAGAGTGCTGAGCATGGATTTTAAGAACAAGTTTCTTAGAAGTCTTGTTAGAGATGGAACTTGCTTTACAAAGAGACACAATGGGTAATGTCAAACTTTCCTTCAACTATGAAAGTTCTGCTGACATCTAGTGTTACATTCCAAATTTTGCCTTGGGAAATGGTAGCTCTGAATGCAGAATGATTTTTCATTATTTATTTATTTATTTTTATTCTTTGTCAAAAGATAGTATCAAAATTCGGATGTCCCAGCTCTGCTTTGGAAGGAAGACATAAGGGGTTTTAATGATGTGAGGAGGGGGTTTCCTGTTCTTTTACTGCAGCGTGTCCAAGGCAGAGTGCACAAGTTATTCGTATCTGGGCCATAAGATATTATATGTTGTTCAATTTATACTGTGCAACCCCTCAAATTTATCCCTACCCAGTTGTTTATTTCTTAGTTCGTTAAGTTATTTGTGATGGTGAATATTTTCTCTCTCTCTCATTTTTTTTTTTCTTTTCCCCAGTGTGACAATGCAAAAGGACTCAAAGCCTTCTATGATGCAATAAAATATGGACCTAATCATCTGATGGTTTTCGGTGGCGTATGTGCAACAGTTACTTCTATCATTGCTGAATCTCTAAAGGGATGGAATTTGGTTCAGGTAAGACATGAAATGAATTATATTCAAATGCTGAATATTTTGTTCATCTGTCTTTTTTAATTTAGAACCTTAGTGTTTGATGCTTTTTAAGCTTAACATTTTGTGTAATTAGTATACCACCATTCTGAAGGTCAGTGCAGTTACATGTAAATAAAGACAGCCACTTTTATATAGTACTAGATTCCAAGGCATGGCATTGTGCTCAAAATATGTGAGTGTGGGACAACAGTTGTTCATCTCAGCATGTTAATTAATTAAAATTAATTTGATGTATCTCAAAAAGCAACCTAAAAGTTCAGTCATGCTAGGTGAGCAAATCTCAGCTCTAAACAAGGTAGAGGAACTTGTCAGTCCTTAAACTATGGTACACTGGGGTCTTTACTCAGTCTCTACTCAATCATAATGCAATAATTCCTATTGACTTTAAAAGTGTTAGGAGTACATAAATTGTAAGTAGTAACTGAGCAAGAGTTTCAGTATTTGACTCACAGAGCACATTTATTCCCAGCTGTTCTTTCTGACTTTCTCAAAGGTCAAGTTTATGGAAAGGTTTCTTCTGCTGAGGAATCAGAATTTATTAATATTAATCTTTAAAATGCGGATGATAGCAGTATGATTTTCTTCATTTCTTCAGTCATCTGCCCAGTAATGATCTTGAGGTTGATAGCTGTTCAGGCAATGCAGGCAGCAAGTTTTGTTTTTCAGCTGTGGAAAAACCTCGGCGTCCTACCCAATATTTGTATTGCCCAAAGATATAATTTTTATCTTGCTTTATTAATATATATATATATTGTGTAGCAGAGTGATAAAATAATAATATATAGCAATCACTTGAGGTTTCACTTACAAACAGATCCCTCTTTTCCACCTGGAATACTCACTGAGCAGAGTGCAGAATGAACAAATGAAGCATAATTAAGTTTGTGAAGAAGATGATGATCAGAGTACAAATGGGAAATTCTTAGGAGGATAATTAAAGTAGCTTGTTAACTGTGTTTGCAATGTTTGTCATATCAGACTTTTTTTTTTTTTTTTTTACGCTTCAGGATTATTTTTTTCTGATGTGAAAAACATCAGTTCTACTATGGAAACAAAATAATAGAATATCTCTGGGGAGAGCTGGGAAAGGAAGGGAAAGCTTGAAACTATCATTTACCACTCTGTAAAAAATGGCCTAGTACATGGGCTATAATGAAATGTGTGGCTGGAGCCCTGTTATTTTGGAATTTGTCACATGGAACTTCCAGATGATATAGCTTGTTTTAAGGAATGGGATTTCATTGTGCCAAATCCTTTTAATTTATGCTCAAGTTCTGCCTGCTAGAGCCTGAAAATCTTTTTTTTTTTTTTTTTTTTTTTAAATGCAATTGCTCAGTCAATAAGTAAAGGCAATTAGAAAGCTTCTAGTTGCTTTTAAATGGTTGACTTTGTCAATATATGTGTTAACTTATATAATGATATGAAGCATTGCTACCAGACAGCATCTGTTTTTCTGTATTTAACAACTACAACTGTGACAAAATCCTAAATGTTATTAATGATACCAGTATATCAAGGGATTCTCTGTTGCTTGGGTTCAGTGTCCTGCAGGCACTAGATCAATCCTCACATGGCATAATTCCACTTTGTGGCAGGTTTTTGTATATTGATTGAATGACGAAAGAACACAAGTGATAGTGTGGCTCGGGAGTGTGGTGAAGCTTAGTGGATGGTACAGCAAGAATGGAAACAGTTTGTGGAAGTGTCAGTGTCATACAGAAACAGCAATATTTGTATCTGCAAATCAGCGTGTATGCATATATATATCAGCATATATCTGCAAAATATGATGTATAAGATAGTGGGAAAACGAAGTATAAATCCTTCCACTCCTCAGAATCCTCTGTCTTGAACATCTTTGATTAAATATGTAACTTGAATAGATGGAATAGACAGAAATCTGTAATTCTTGGTAGTGGAGAGATAATATTCAGCCTGAAAAAATACGGGACTGTCCTCCCTCCCTTAAAGCTTGAAAATTCACCTCAGAGAATCAGAGCAACCTCCCATAAATAGTTATGTAAATTTGTGATCATGCTAAAGTCATTCTGTGTTGCAATCTAGAAGAAGGAAAACAGTGTATGTAGACAAAACCTAAGGTGACATCGTACTGCTGAGTAGAGGATTTGCATTTGGATGTCTGACTCCATTGTTTTTCTCTGGTGCAGGCAGTCGTGAACACAGAGCTCTTAACCCTAGCAGGAATATTTGATTTGATCTGATTTACGCAGGTGTCCTGTGACTGTGCAAAGTGATGACTGTCTTCCCTGCAAGAGAAATGCAGAATACTGGGAGTACTGGGGAGAATAGGGAAGAAAAGAAGGACAACAGAACATTTACCTTAGCAAATCAGATACAAGGCCGAATGCCTGGAAAACTTTTCTAGAAGCCTTTTAGCCCTGAATTCCAAGTTTCTGTCTAACTGTTTTTCTTCCACTTGGGAAACTTTTTTTCTCTTTTTTTTTCATTTCTGCCTCTTCCCTATTATCTCCAGTAAAAAGTCTCCAAAAACAAGAAATCAAATAAAAGGCAAAAAAATACAAATGTGCTGGAAATTATTACATTGCCTTTGTTACTCAAACAATGCTACATGTATAATAGTGATGAGAGGGAGGAAAGGGAGATAATTTTCTGCAAGAGAGCTGTGGTCTGTACACTCCTTACTGTGTTCTGTTGATAAAGGCAGTGTCTTTACTTCACTGTGTGAAGTACAGTGACTTTTGCTTCACTGATAAATTGAGTTCACTGGTACCCCGCAACAGTGTGAAATAAGGGAGACTATCAGAGCTTAACAGTCTTAGTCTGAAGGTGCCTTGTTCTGTCTTGTTTTCATACTGTGTCTAAACAGAAGGTACTTTTCTTCTCCCATCTTGACAAATTTTGATTTACTTGTAATCAGTAACAGAATGGGAGATTTTGTTCTCAACCGGCTGTCTTCAGCTGCTGGCTGATTCAATTATCTCTTACTGTAAAAAAAGTAATGATTTTTTAATGGTGCTCTTTGAATCTGTGGAAAAAGCAAGTTGTTTTAGACAGCAAATACTTATTTCATCCTTAATGACTTTCACTGAGATATGCTAGGTGTCACAACCTGTTTCTGAACACACATTCTTAGAAGGAGAGGCATATATACCCATTCCTTAGCTTCTCAAACCTGGAAAATTGAGAGCTTCCCTGTGAGCCATTCCTGTGTGCCAGCAGTCATTACTTTTCTGAGTGACAGCCTGAACACAGGCTGGGGACTGCTGCTACGGCTTTGATCTCCCATCTGTGGTGTGCAATCAGTTTGAATCTTTGGCATTTTGCTTATAAAGTGCTAATACTATTCTCTGTATCTGGCAATGGGTCATAAAGGTTTGAAGGTGTAACATGGGGCATTTTCTTTGCTGTCAGGGAAATACTTCAGTATGAAATTCTTCATCATTCATCTTATCTCCATTCCCTTTCAATGAGTATTTGAGGCCATTAAGCAGTGTAAAGAAGAATCACTGGCAATATCTGCACTACACTGAAAATGACTAGTTATGTATTTTATTTTATACACCAATACGTTCCTGATAGTATCCAGGTTGTCCAAAATGGAGGAGATTGTTCATAATTCAGTCTTCCTCTTCTGTTTCAGGCTATCCATCAACTGTTTATCTTTCCATGTGAATTTCTTATACTGTCAAAACTGTCTGGTTTGTTTAGACTGTTGTTTCACCTATTTTCCATTGTCATCTGTCACTTTTTGTTTCCCAATTGCCATGTTAACATAAGAATTTAAATGGGATGAGGATTTTGACCAAACTGGCCACCTCTCTCAATTTGTTGAACTACTTCTCCACTTTGGAGATTTTTCTTTTTCCTTTATTGTGATGTTTACATTCTCTTACAGTCTGCTTCATTTATCTTTTCTGTCAACTCTGGAAATAAGCCTCTTCCAGAATCAGTATAAATATTACCACTTCCTTGAAATATCCTCCCTCCACATATTTAATGTAATCTAGTCATAACTGCTGGCTTCTAGACAGGTAACTGCTACAGGTCCAGTGATTAGATCATAATGACATTCACAACACAGAAACCTTGTTTAGGATTCAGAGTCTCATGTTGGAACGTTTTCTGAGAAAACTGTAGGTACTCTAATCATGATGTATTGCTCACTTTGTGGGCTGGACTTCTGGCAAAAAAGTCTCCTGTATTAACATGGGGCAGCTTCATCATAGAAAGGGAAACTCCTTTAGTTCTCTAGCTTGATGTCATGGAGTATTAAAGAGCCTACCCTGAGATTTGTTATATTATCACAGAAGTTCATAGGCATTCAAGATCCAATACCTGAATTGCCAGAAAGACTGCTGATGAAATTAATGGAAATCACTGATGCTCTTAGCCTTTGGTTTCCTTCTGAAACAAGACTGATGTGATTTCATTGCCAGTTCCTCCTGATAATTTCTGACCACTCTCCAACCAAAACCGTATTTTAACAAAGAACTTCCCAAAGATTATGAGCCTCTACACATTTCTGCATAAAGGAACTGCTGGGGAGAGGGATCCAAATGAAGGAAAGGCTGTGACATGAGCATGGAGGTAACTGGGAGCCTGCCATTACATTTGTTGCTTCTTGTCCAGCTGCTGATTATGAGAATGTGACTGATTGCATTGAGAATTTTAAAAGCAGTGGAAAAAAGCAGAGAAAATGTGGACAAGTGGTAAAGCACAGAGGATTATGAAGCAGGATTTAAGGTGTTTTTGTGTGTAGAATTTTAGGACACACTATACGAAAACAGACTTTATTTGTTGGCTCTGTTACTCATTAAAGTACATGTTAATACAGCCTATAGCTAGTGTTATTAGAGCAGACAAATTAATTCCTAGTATATTCTAGGAATACTCTTAGAATATTCTTTTGATATTTTTGAAGGCTTTGTGTTCTCCTTCTAAATGACAGACTCTTTAGTATATATGTGTATACACACATACGCGCGTGTATATGTATATATCTATATATATATGTATTTTGGACAGAGTGCTGAGCATGGATTTTAAGAACAAGTTTCTTAGAAGTCTTGTTAGAGATGGAACTTGCTTTACAAAGAGACACAATGGGTAATGTCAAACTTTCCTTCAACTATGAAAGTTCTGCTGACATCTAGTGTTACATTCCAAATTTTGCCTTGGGAAATGGTAGCTCTGAATGCAGAATATTTTTCATTATTTATTTATTTATTTTTATTCTTTGTCAAAAGATAGTATCAAAATTCGGATGTCCCAGCTCTGCTTTGGAAGGAAGACATAAGGGGTTTTAATGATGTGAGGAGGGGGTTTCCTGTTCTTTTACTGCAGCGTGTCCAAGGCAGAGTGCACAAGTTATTCGTATCTGGGCCATAAGATATTATATGTTGTTCAATTTATACTGTGCAACCCCTCAAATTTATCCCTACCCAGTTGTTTATTTCTTAGTTCGTTAAGTTATTTGTGATGGTGAATATTTTCTCTCTCTCTCATTTTTTTTTTTCTTTTCCCCAGTGTGACAATGCAAAAGGACTCAAAGCCTTCTATGATGCAATAAAATATGGACCTAATCATCTGATGGTTTTCGGTGGCGTATGTGCAACAGTTACTTCTATCATTGCTGAATCTCTAAAGGGATGGAATTTGGTTCAGGTAAGACATGAAATGAATTATATTCAAATGCTGAATATTTTGTTCATCTGTCTTTTTTAATTTAGAACCTTAGTGTTTGATGCTTTTTAAGCTTAACATTTTGTGTAATTAGTATACCACCATTCTGAAGGTCAGTGCAGTTACATGTAAATAAAGACAGCCACTTTTATATAGTACTAGATTCCAAGGCATGGCATTGTGCTCAAAATATGTGAGTGTGGGACAACAGTTGTTCATCTCAGCATGTTAATTAATTAAAATTAATTTGATGTATCTCAAAAAGCAACCTAAAAGTTCAGTCATGCTAGGTGAGCAAATCTCAGCTCTAAACAAGGTAGAGGAACTTGTCAGTCCTTAAACTATGGTACACTGGGGTCTTTACTCAGTCTCTACTCAATCATAATGCAATAATTCCTATTGACTTTAAAAGTGTTAGGAGTACATAAATTGTAAGTAGTAACTGAGCAAGAGTTTCAGTATTTGACTCACAGAGCACATTTATTCCCAGCTGTTCTTTCTGACTTTCTCAAAGGTCAAGTTTATGGAAAGGTTTCTTCTGCTGAGGAATCAGAATTTATTAATATTAATCTTTAAAATGCGGATGATAGCAGTATGATTTTCTTCATTTCTTCAGTCATCTGCCCAGTAATGATCTTGAGGTTGATAGCTGTTCAGGCAATGCAGGCAGCAAGTTTTGTTTTTCAGCTGTGGAAAAACCTCGGCGTCCTACCCAATATTTGTATTGCCCAAAGATATAATTTTTATCTTGCTTTATTAATATATATATATATTGTGTAGCAGAGTGATAAAATAATAATATATAGCAATCACTTGAGGTTTCACTTACAAACAGATCCCTCTTTTCCACCTGGAATACTCACTGAGCAGAGTGCAGAATGAACAAATGAAGCATAATTAAGTTTGTGAAGAAGATGATGATCAGAGTACAAATGGGAAATTCTTAGGAGGATAATTAAAGTAGCTTGTTAACTGTGTTTGCAATGCTTGTCATATCAGACTTTTTTTTTTTTTTTTTACGCTTCAGGATTATTTTTTTCTGATGTGAAAAACATCAGTTCTACTATGGAAACAAAATAATAGAATATCTCTGGGGAGAGCTGGGAAAGGAAGGGAAAGCTTGAAACTATCATTTACCACTCTGTAAAAAATGGCCTAGTACATGGGCTATAATGAAATGTGTGGCTGGAGCCCTGTTATTTTGGAATTTGTCACATGGAACTTCCAGATGATATAGCTTGTTTTAAGGAATGGGATTTCATTGTGCCAAATCCTTTTAATTTATGCTCAAGTTCTGCCTGCTAGAGCCTGAAAATCTTTTTTTTTTTTTTTTTTTAAATGCAATTGCTCAGTCAATAAGTAAAGGCAATTAGAAAGCTTCTAGTTGCTTTTAAATGGTTGACTTTGTCAATATATGTGTTAACTTATATAATGATATGAAGCATTGCTACCAGACAGCATCTGTTTTTCTGTATTTAACAACTACAACTGTGACAAAATCCTAAATGTTATTAATGATACCAGTATATCAAGGGATTCTCTGTTGCTTGGGTTCAGTGTCCTGCAGGCACTAGATCAATCCTCACATGGCATAATTCCACTTTGTGGCAGGTTTTTGTATATTGATTGAATGACGAAAGAACACAAGTGATAGTGTGGCTGGGGAGTGTGGTGAAGCTTAGTGGATGGTACAGCAAGAATGGAAACAGTTTGTGGAAGTGTCGTGTCATACAGAAACAGCAATATTTGTATCTGCAAATCAGCGTGTATGCATATATATATC